AATATCAAAACCTTTAAGTTCAGTTTTCAAGCATCCGAATTTCGGGCATTTTCTTTCATTTCTTTCATTTCGGGTAAAAAATGACGTCATAAATATACGTGTTTATGTAACATTATCGTCCATCCATATAATTTTTACGAATTTCTTGGTTAATTAACGTAGGTAGTTCTCAGACCAAAATGTCCGAAAGTCGGACAATCAATAATTATATTAAAATGTTTAGAAATTTTGTGCCGCCATATTGCTTTTAATAGAAAACGGCCGAATTTCGAATGGCCGAAAACTAGAGGTTTATTTCATGTAATGTCATTTAGATATTAATCCAAGTTTGTGTTTGATTTCACTTGTTTTCGTGTTTTACCTATTGTTTCTGTTATTTATTATTATTTTATAAAGTTTACGTCGTTTGATTCGCTTTTCATATAGCACCGAAGTTGCGAATCTTAACAATATGCACTACTGGTTCAAATCTGCCCTTGATGCTAGTAGTTCAGCACCAAGACCGTTGGTCGGTAAATGTTTAGGCAGGAATTCTAGGATTGGACTTTTTGGCGAATTATTGGACTTTTTTAATTATCTGAATGAAATGAACTATCCACAATTTCTAAGAGATGAATTGCCAATTTTGTTAGGGGATCCATCATGATGAAATTGCATTTGTTGCAATTTCATCGCATGAATGCAGTTGTGTAGTTGGTGCAGTTGGGCCGCTTATTTTTGCTATGAATGTGTGGGGCTTCTTGGATACCACTTAAGTTAGTGGTATCCAAGAAGCCCTAGTAGATAGAGACGCTGGAGCGGCATATTTCCATGGCCAGCTAGGTCATCGGATTTAATACGCCTGGGTTTTAATTTATGGGGTCGAATCAAGAACGAATATGGAGAAATAACAATTAAATGGTCTCTTCTTCTTCGAGTGCCATGTCCTCAACGAACGTTGGCTATCATATTGGCTATTATAATTTTGTTGGCAGCAGCCCTAAAGAGTGCTGCACTTGATTTTTGGAACCAATCCCGCAAATTTCGAAGCCACGATGTGCGTCTACGACCAGGTCCTCTCTTACCCTCTATTTTACCTTGCATAATCAAATGAGGACGTTGTATCGTTCAGGGTGTCGAATAACGTGCGCAAAATATTCTAACTTCCGGATCTTGATGTTTTTATTTATTTCGGGTTGTTTGGACAAGCGACTCAAAACTTCCTCATTACGAACCTTGTCAACCCAACTTATCCGCAACAATCTCCTATACACCCACATTTCAAAAGCCTGGAGTTTCTTTAGCAATGTCTCTGTGAGTGTCCAACTTTCCGCCCCATAAAGTAAAGTGGAAAATATGTAGCATCTTGTAAGTCTTAACTTTAGTTCTATGTTAATATTTCGACTACATAACACTTTCTTCATCCGATAGAATACCGATCTAGCTTTCTCTATACGTTGCTTGATTTCCTTGCTCATATCCCAATCGTTATTAATGTTAGAGCCCAAGTAGGTGATATTATCAACTTGCTCAAGGTCGACTCCATAAGCTGTTATTGGTATCGGATTTATAGGATGTTTACTAACGGTCATAAGCTTAGTCTTTTGAGTGTTAAGTTTTAACCCATACTCATCGCATGTACTTGTAACTCTATCCAACAGCAACTGCAGTTCTTCCGGACTACTGGCTAACAAAACGGTATCGTCAGCATATTTTAAGTTGTTGACATTAACTCCATTCACTTTGACACCGCCATCGATTTCCTCGAGCGCCTCCCTGAAGATGAATTCAGAGTAAAGATTAAAAAGTAGTGGCGACATAATGCATCCCTGTCGCACACCTCTACGGATTGCTATTGTTTCCGAGGTATTTTTGCCAATTTTAACACTTGCCTGCTGATTCCAATAAAGGTTTCTAATTATTTGGAGATCCTTATCATCAATGCCCACTTCCCGTAAAATCGCAACCAATTTATCATGTTTTACCCTGTCAAATGCTTTTTCGAAATCAATAAAGCACATAAAGACAGGGTGATCGACATCTCTGCATCTTTGAACAAGGACTTGGATGCAAAAAAGTGCTTCTCTAGTTCCAAGATTGTTGCGGAATCCGAACTGTGTCTCGCTAATTTGTTCCTCTATTTTGGCATATACTCTTGAATGTATAATTCGAAGGAAAATTTTTAGGACGTGGCTCATTAAACTGATAGTTCTGTAATCAGAGCACTTCCTAGAGTTTCCCTTTTTGGGGATCATTACGAATGTTGACTTGATCCAGTCAGTTGGTATAACTCCGGATTCGTATATTTTGTTAAAAAGCGATAGTAGCGACTGTTTTCCTTTAATATCGAGACATTTGAGTATTTCCGATGGTATTTCATCCGGACCCGTTGCCTTTCTATTTTTTGCTGTTTTTATAGCCTTCTCTAGTTCACCCATTGTTATCATAGGGCCTGTATTACATTGTTGTATCACATTTTCTATTCTCTCGTCATCAAACAATTCTTCGATGTACTCTTTCCATCTTCTCAGTTTATCAATGTCATTTACAATGAGATTACCATCCTTGTCAACAAGGTTATGAGTTCTGTTGGTATTCACACCCGTTAACTCTTTAACCCTCTTATGTAAGTTGAAGGTATCATGTCTCTTCTGTAACTCTTCAACCTCCTTACATTGATTCACAAACCATGCCTCTTTTGCCGCTCGTATTTTCTTCCGAATTTCTTTATTAATAAGTTGGTACTTTTGTTGGTCTTGATTTTTAAATGATCTTCTTTCCTCCATTAGGTGCAGAATATCGTCATTCATCCAATTCTGTTTCTTCTGTTGGGCTATAGGTATATTAGATGTTGTTTCTGATACTATATTTTTAAACTTATTCCAGTGGTCTTCAATGTTGCAGTCAAGTATTTTTTCCTCACACTTATTTTCCAGAGTGTTCATAATTACCTCGTGATTGTCCCGTATATAGTCGACATTTAACTTTTTTGACGGTTGTTTTCTTTCGACTTTCTTTAATCTGAGCTTGAACCTCGCTACTAGGAGGACATGATCTGAAGGGACATCGGCTCCAGGAAAAGTTTTGACTGCCTGTACTGAGTTTCGGTAACGTTCATTGATGGTGATATAGTCAATCTGATTTCTGACAGGTTTCTCTGGACTATCTGATGGATGTTTCCAAGTATAGAGCCTTCTCTTCGGGAGTTTGTAGAAGGTGTTCATAATACACAAATTATTATCCCTGCAGAATTCAACAAATCGGTCTCCTCTCTCATTACGTATACCGAGTCCAAAGTCACCTACGACCTTATCCTCTCTACCTTGGCCAACTTTGGCGTTGAGGTCTCCCATAATAATGGTAATATCTTTCTTCTTGATTTTGTCAGTGACGCTCTTGATGGTATCGTAGAATTTTTCAATTTCCTCCTCGTCACTGACTGAGGTTGGTGCATATACTTGAATAAGGTTGATGTCAACAGGTCTCGAGTTCAGTTGTAACATAATGACCCTATCAGAAACGTAACACACGGATTTAACGCACTTCTCGACATGTTTGGAAACTATAAAAGCAACACCATTGATATGATAGTTACTGTCCTCTCCTGAGTAGTACACAGTATGTTCTTCTATGTTGCATTTACCGGAGTTTGGCCAGCGCATTTCACTAACCCCTAGGATCGGGATATCGAGTCTTTTCATCTCCTGTATTGTGTTATGGGTTTTTCCTGCTTCGTATAGACTACGTAGGTCCAAGTACCTATCTTAAGTTTGAATTTAAGGTCAATTGTGGCCGAACGGGAGATTCTTCGCACCCCTGCCCCATTTAAGGGGCGCCCGTACTCGGGGCCGTTTTTTAATTCTTCAGCCATAATGATAATCCTGGGGAAAGGTCTCATACATCAGGTAGTTTCCCGTTGCTTTCCTGATGCGTAAGTTCAGCCGCCCACTATGGATCAGACGCTGTTGGCAGCCGCCCACTCTGGGTCAGACGCTGCACCGTTGTGGTCTTTCTTAGCTTCACCTTCGTCACTTCGAGACCTTACCGGCAAGGGTGGCCCTACCAGTAGCTACGCTACCGCCGGCATCGCTCCCTGGACATTGAAGGTTACTGAGCCCCACTCACCACGTCAAGGTGAAAGACCCCGAGGGGTCTTTCACTTAAAGGAATAAAACCTACAAACCGAAAGGATTAAAACCTACAATTAAATGGTATTAAAATGAAACTAAAATATATGTTTTGATTTTTTGACGTAACCAATTTACCTCTTTTTGTTTCCTAGCCTACTACTATAATTTCTAGACCATATAATCCTAAGCGGCAGCCTAACATAATTTGTTCTCTTAATATCTCCGGTTAGAGAGAAGGTAGAAAGTTGCGGTTTGCGCTGATATTTTGGAAATGTTGTGCTCTATTTAACTGTGTAAAGAGAAATATAGCCTCCCATTTATTTTTTTTATGCAAAGGCGCAATATCTGTTATGATATCAAATAGCGCCCTCTAGCTACCACGAAAAAAATTATGGAAATAAAATTTATACTGGGAATCATTAAGGAAGAAAAACTCTTTTAAACGAGCCCTAGTTTGTTTAAATCGGGTAACCTAAACCACAGTTATCGTTATTTTAATAAAAGCAAATTTAACCTTCCCCCACCACTTTATTTTATGAGATAGAGCAAAATACTCTATATCAAAAAAATTACAAATTTCTCGATGTTTATAATAGTAATATTTAAAATACCTGTTCACCTGCATATTTTTGAGAAAAACCTTGTTTCTGATTGGCTATCAGAGGAGCGCCCTCTAGCGGACATTTTTCGAACTTGAAAATAATTTCCAGCCATTTCTCTTGGTCGATTTACTTATTATAATTTTTTCCCCAAAGTTATAGGATAAGTAGTTTCTGAGATACAGCCGGCGTCCATTCTTAGTTGGCCACCAGGTACTACGAAAATAAGACTAAACGTTATTTTTTTACTTTTTATTAAAACTACTATGAGTTAAATCTCTATTACTTATAGATTCCTTCTTCAATGTTTAGAAGATCTGGATCGTAACCTGAGGAAATTAAATTCACGTCTATTTGTTATTAGAGGTCAGCCGGCTGACACCTTACCTAAACTGTTTAAGGAGTGGGGTACTACTGCTTTAACTTTTGAAGAGGACCCCGAACCTTTCGGAAGAGTACGTGACCATAACATTACAGCGTTATGTAAAGAGCTTGGTATTTCTGTAGTTCAAAAAGTATCGCACACTTTATATCATTTGCAACATATCATAGACAGGTAAATTATAAAAAAATGATATTATATTATGTCTAAAATTATATTCTCTTCTAGAAACGGAGGTAAAGCGCCGCTTACTTACCACCAATTTTTAGCAGTTATAGCATGCATCGGTTTGCCACCACAACCAGAACAACCCGTAACACCAAAAACAGTCGATGGAGCTCAAACGCCATTATCAGATGATCACGATGAAAAATTTGGTGTTCCAACCTTGGAAGAACTTGGTTTTGATACGAAAGGATTAAAACCGTTAGTTTGGCCGGTAATTAATTATATGTTTATTTTTTGGAGTAGTTTTCAATTGCGACATTTCCGTAGTCCCGAAGTACGTCGACCTTTAAATAAAAAGATGAAGGAAGGAGTATAATACTATTAATGTATTTATGCATGATGGACGGCTTGAGAGTTCTCAGTTCTGTTCAGGGGTGGATGGGGAAGTGGAAACCGGCTCGGGAATAACAGGCAACCGGCCCAAATTCACAAAAACAAAATGACCATAACGAAGAAACATATTTATATTTATTAATATACCGGGTGTCCCAGAAATAAGTGCAAGTATTTTAACTGATATATTTCGGCCTCTTCGGTTCTTTTTTGCGAAAATTTGGAATTTCTTGAAAAAAATTTTGGAAATCTTTTTTAGTTTTAAGTTAAAAAAACATAATTTCTTGATAATCTGGCAACATAGGTAGTAGATTAATTTTACATGAAAGAAAATCCAGAAAACATCCAGTAGTTCTGAAAATTTAAGCAAAAAAGCATTTTTTGTTTAAATTTTCAAAGTAAAATAACTCGGTTATTTTGGACTTACTTGAAAAACGGTAAACGTTTCTTTTGACCAAATCTACCCCCCTTAAAATACTTCCACTTATTTCTGGGACACCCTGGGTAAGGGTCAAATAACCCTAAGTAAGGGTGATTTTCGCTAGGGCGAAAAAATCTCTTTTGCCTCCGATTTTTTAAAATATTGAAATTGTCTTGCTCAACATTTTTATAAAGATCAATATCGGGCCGGACATCCTGAATTTTTACTAGAAAATTGCTCAGTTTCACATGGTTCTACTGTTTTATTTCCATTATCGATAATTTGATCTTGAATATGCTACGATTTTGAAAAACTTTAAGACTTCCTGATTCATTCAGTTCAGCTGGCCCAATCCTCTGTGAAATACATTATTTTTAGCTTTTCAGGTATATACTTTTTTACAGATTGTAGAAAGATTTTTTTTTCTGGTACACGAGCAGCCTCGTCATGTATACGTGTTTTAATTTTGGTATATTTCTCATCACGTAACTTTTCCTCGTTTCTACATTTGGCATCTTGTATGATAATGCCATGACTCAAACGAAAAAAAACCTAAGCCATACCTAAGCAGTGGATATAAATGTGTTCTGAGATAGATGCTATGTTACGATCTGTAATAAGAATATTTGGATTTTGGAGACATATTGATATTTTATTATCTAATCTAGTTTAAACCTCATTTAACTCTTCTCTGCTGTCTCACTAATTTTTAGTAAAATTATTCTAGCAAAATTTTAACAACAACTTAGACTTAAATTTTAGTTCTCAGACTTGGCTTTTAGTCCGTCCCCAATTCAAATCAGGCTTAGAAATGCCATCTTCGTGTTTTTTCTGTCAACCGCAGAGTTCGCGTCAAATTCGCCTACCTTTTTACTCAGAGGAGATCGAAAAGTATTGCACCGAGGCCCCCAGTTGTCAAGCTACGTACCTTATTCCTAGTATACACTTACATATAGAGACTATTTAGATGATATTCACTCTTTTCTGCTGTACGCCTGCCGGAGTCTTTATTAGTTATTAATAAAAGAATAGTGGTAAAACTATACAGAATGAGTCTTAAAATAAGTGCAAATATTTTTAGGGGTGGTATATTTCGACCCCAGGAACACGTCTATGAAGTTTTTTTTGCAAAAAAAAAAGATGTTGAAAATCGTGCTTTTTTTTTAATTTTTCCTGTATAGTTTAAAAATTTTTTTAGAACTTCCTGTTCACCGCAAATTTTCCCACGGTATAGTTTCTTAATCTTTGATATTACGGCACAAAAAGAGATGCAAATACAGAAAAATTTCGGTGGCAAATTTTTTAAAAAATAAATCAGTTTTTTTAAATATTTCAAACTTTAATAACTCGGTTATTTTTGGACTTATTTGAAACATGGTAAAGAGTCTTTTATTCATATCTACCAGCCCTGAAAATATTTGTACAAAGCAGCACAAATAAGGTGCACTTATAGACTCACCTTGTATAATAAAACATTTCAAATGGAACAACAAACAATAGATGTTTATTAAAATTATAAGTGTCACAGAGAAAGACATCTAACAATAGTTATTTTACAAATTGGAGTTATGCTTAAAAGCAACTGACGATTATATTGATGCAAATTGATTAGTTAGTTAGGCAGTCACTAAGAATCTCACGTAACTTTAGTTAGAAGATTAATTTTTGATAAATCAATCTTTTTTTGAGCTCTTATCGGGACCGGCCCACCGGGAATTTTCCCGTTTTCCCATATGGCCCATCCACCCCTGGTTCTGTTTGACGTTTCAATTCAAAAATTTGAATTTGATTTGATTTTATGCATTTGTTATTCTTTAGTGAGCTTATTTTATGATGTTTATCCCTCAACTGGTATGGTGGGGTCAAAAATGATCCCAAATTATTTTGCGGCTTAACGCCCGGACATACGAGTTGTGCGTTGCGCCTTTACGTATTCTCGTAGAGCTACGTTGCTTATAAAATGCTTAGGGAGAAAATCACTTTGCTCTTGAAGTTCATACGGTACAGACGCGTCGGGTCTTTTTTGACCCCACCATACCAGTAACGTTGTATTTTATTTCAAGTACTTAGTGTAAAAATGTCGAGACCGTGGACTGAAGACGACTTAGAAAGAATAGCAAATAATTTGTCTGATATAAGTGATGTTGGGGAGAGATGAAGATCTAAGTGACGTAGACGTTCAAAGTGAACATTCGCTACATGAGACAGATTCTGAACTTGAGGAAAAGGATGACGAATTACCCATAGATGAAGATCGGGGTTACTTTTATGGACGTAATCGATACAAGTGGTCTAAGGTACACCCGGCAAGCTCACGAACCCGAGTAGAAAATATTGTCATCCAGTTACCTGGTTGGAAAGGTGCTGGACATAGTGACGGGATATGATGCTTGGTGTCTATTATTCACCGACGACATATTAGAAATTATTCTAGAACATACCAACTCAAAAATTACAGAGCTAAGTGCAGGCTATGTGCCAACAGCTTACTTCACGGCCCACATGGATAAAATCGAACTAAAAGCGTTTATTGGTTTACTTTATTTATCAGGAATCTTTAAATCCTCGCATGAAGATGCAGAAAGTCTGTGGGCTACGGACGCTACAAGCCGTGATATCTTCAGGCTGACAATGTCCTGGAAAAGGTTTCTTTTTCTTTTAAGTGCTATCCGCTTTGACGACGCAGCAACTAGGGAGCAGAGAAAAAGAAACGGTGATCGATTAGCGGCAGTTTCCGAAGTGTTCCAGAAATGTATTTCGAATTGCAGAGACAGTTAGGGGAGAGTCGGCTAAGATGACGCAGTTGGAAAGATGACGCATGTTAACATTTCGGTCACGCCGTGTTTATAAACTAATTTTTCCATCCACGTGTGCCTATTAGGTAAACAGAACCGCGCCTATGAAGTTAGCAGCGAGTCGGATGTCAATCAGTCTTTATATGGCCGCCAAAGTGTGAAGGACGTCAGGTGCTGTAAAAATTACTTCAAAAACTATTCGGTGTAAACGTTTTGTCTGTCATAGAAACTTACTTTTTCTTAGTAACGTAAGTAGTCTAGATCATGACTATCAGCTTAAGCTTTTAGAACTAGTGATAAATTATATGAAAAGTAGATTCGGCCATTTTTTTTCGTCCGTTGCAAATTGGCTAAGATGACGCTTGACGAAGTGGCAAAGATGACGCGCGTCATCTTTACCTCACTTGCGTCATCTTTGCCTACAAATGCTTTTTGTTCATAACTAAAGATTTGTTATGAGTGGTATTTCTTTCAGATGGGTAAATACAAACGAAAAACTGAAAGACGGTCATTTACTGAAGAAGCTCTTACTTCTGCACTTAATGCTATAGAACAAGGTCGTAAAATTCGTGAGGTAGCTAAAAGTTTCGATATCCACGAAGCAACTCTAAGACGTCGTGCTAAAATTAGGAAGAATATTTTAGAAAGCAAGTCTGACTCACTTGGGCGAGCCCCAGTATTTTCAAGAACACAAGAACGAGAAATCTCTGATCATATTAAACATCTTGCTAAATTATTTTTTGGAATAACTGCTATAGAACTCCGACAAGCTGCTTATAAATATGCTGAGATGAAAAATATTAAACACAATTTTAACCGTGAACAAGGTTTAGAAATTTTCTAAAGAGAAATCCAGATATTTCGTTGAGGAAGTCAGAGGCTACAAGTGTAAACAGAGTATCAGCTTTTAATAAAAGAGAAGTTAGTAATTTTTTCGCCAACTTGGAACAAATTCAAAATAAATATCATTTTGGTCCTGATCGAATGTATAACGTCGACGAAACAGGATGCTCTACAACCCCAAAGGAAGTAAGCAAAAGACTAGCACCTAAAAGTATTAAACAATTCGGTTCTATTTGTTCTTGGGAACGCGGAAAAAATATTACGGTTATTTGTGCCGTGAATGCTACAGGTAGTTTTGTGCCGCCATTATTTATTTTCCCGAGGTTAAGAATGAGCCCTCAGTTGGAAAGGAATGGGCCATGTGGAGCAATTTATACCTGCACAAAAAATGGATGGAGCAATGAACAAGTTTTCATGATGTGGCTTAAATACTTTCAGGCGAAAGTATCATCTTCTGTTGATAATCCAGTTCTATTGGTATTAGACAACCATACGAGCCATATATCCTTATCGATTTGCGAATTTTGCAAAAGTCACGGGATAGTTACGGTCAGCATTCCACCTCATACTTCGCACAAGTTGCAGCCGCTCGATCTGACTTTTTTTGCGCCTCTGAAGAACGCTTACAGTAAGCAATGCAACTTATTTTTGAAAAGTAAAATTAGCGATGAGCAAAAAGAAAATAAATTGACGCCTTACGATGTTGCCGAAATTTTCAGGCTAGCATATGAACAGGTTGCAAACGTGGAAAAGGGAGTTTCCGGTTTTTCTGCTTCTGGAATATTTCCACTAAATCCAGAAAAATTCACCGAAGACGAC